AAGTACAAAACCACAGATCAAGCTATTGGTGTGTGTGTGTGTGTGCGTGCGTGCGTGCGTTCAAGTTCAAGTTCAGTTTTATTTCTAGAGCACATTTAGGCACGAAACAAGGCCGACCAAAGTGCTGCACAACATACAATAATATATAACAAGGAGAAAATCAGTAAACAGATAGAAACAATTCAAAATCCATACAACAAAAACAGATTAAAACAATTCAAAGGCACATGTTAAAAGCCAGAGAGAAAAGATGTGTTTTAAGATATGACTTGAACTCAGATAAAGTGGAAGCCATTCTGATGTGAACTGGTAAGTTGTTCCAGAGGGTGGGACCAGCCACTTCAAAGGCTCTAGATCCTCTGGTTTTTAAGCGGGTTCTAGGGGTCTGAAGGAGACATTTGCCCTCTGATCTTAGTCCCCTCTTCGAAGAGTAGGAAGTGTGTGTGTGTGTGTGTGTGTGTGTGAACTAGAGCTTTTTATGTGTTTCATGAGTTTTGTTTCCTGTTTAATCTTATGTCGTTTTCTTTGCCATAGTGAATTGTGGAAAGCCTGCTGTGGACTTTAATGGGATGGTGTATGGGAGTGATTGGTGGGTGGGTTCTGTAGTGCGGTACGACTGCAGACCAGGGTTCGTGTTGGTGGGAGATCCTGCCCGAGCCTGTCAGTCCAATGGGAAATGGACGCCCAAACCATCCTGTCTTAGTAAGTCTTGGTCTGCCTGGACGTTGCACACAATTTACGGAAATACCCAGAAAGTGCACACAAAAATGAGACCTAATCTGTCTTAAGTTTCATGTATATATAGTATATGAGAGACTGAACACTTATTAAAGTTGTAATAGTCAGTACTGTTACTTTGAGAGGAGTTAAAAATAACTCTTCTGAATTACCACACACTGTAAGAAAAAAAATGCATAGAAGAATGGGCAAGAATGGAAAAGGTACTGGTCATTTTCTGTCAGGACTTTATCCATTAAGTACAGCCCTTTACTTTAATAAAAAAAAAAATGCAATTCATAATTCAAAGGAAAGGGAAAACACCTATGAAAACTAAGTACGGAAACTCCCTTCATATTAACCCACACGTACATTGTTCCTTAATTTTACAGAGTGCATAGTCATTGTACATAACATGAAAACATGAAATATCTACTGATACATCATATATTTTCATAAAAAAGTGTATAGATGTATTAAGTTCATTTGATATTTTTATAATATTTATTAAACTATATTACTTTAGGTCAAAGTCTGGGTTGTGGAGATTAAAAATGTAACATTTTACACTGAAATTGGTCATTTCATTGGCTATATTAAATACAAGTTAAGTACAATTCTCTCTTCTCCTGTATGTGACATTAGGAGTGTGTTATCGTGGCCGGGTTGAGATCAATGAGAAGGACATCGACGGGACATGTTCGTCCACCTGTCCTGATGCTAAAAGCTATGCAGTCCCTCTGAACCACAAATGCAGTCGTATTGAGAACTGCAGAACTAAAGAATCAGGCTGGAAGCGCTGGTTTACACGCTGCAACTACTGCGACTGTGACTGCTTCACTCCCTGTGGTAAGTTTTTATAGAGTCATATAAATTGTGACTAGTTAAAACTTACTGGCAAATAACTGCAGTAACAATATTTCAAAATCAATGTTTTTGTTTGTTCCCTCAGCTTTACAGGATAGAAGACAGTGAATCTGTATTCATTATCCTCTGGAAACAACAGAATTCATTTTTATTTGAATGTAAAGAGAGAGGCTTGACATGTAACCTTAACAGAGCTTGTCAAACTGAATATAAAAGCATTTTATGCATCTCTAGATCCTAAATATCTACACAATTGGAGACCTTTATTTTAATCACTGACTACAAAAGCCCAGATGTCTGGAAATGTCGCTGTTTCCCCTTATCTGTGTTTAGTAGTACAGATATGTAATGTACATTTGATTGTATAGTTAGAGTTTACAACTGTGGAAAGATCAGAGAAACATTTCTGTTCCAGTATTATACTATTGTAGATCCAATGAAATTATTATTCATACTCCTTGCATTAATATAGTTGATCCGAATCAGAGTGATCTCTTTTATAACCACAAAACAGAAAACAAATGTCCTTTTAGTCCCAAGTGGTGAAGTTCATAATGAAATTCTCATTTTTCTTGGGTTGGTAGCAGCCAATTCCTGCAAAAGATTGGGAAATTTATTTTGTTTATATATATACTGTATATAGAGTGTTGTAAATAAAATGAAAGCAAAATACCAATTCATTCAAAAAAATTCTTTAAAATCTGTGTGGCTAATTAAACTCATACACCTACCCACATTCAGTCGGGTTATACTGTTTCCTTTCTTCGATGGAAGCTCCCAATATGTGTGGTTTTCAGTAGATCCAGCCAGTCCGTTCACACGCTCCAGATATATGCCAAAGCTTTTGTTAATACTGTATGTGAAACTAATAGAAATAAAAATAGGAGAATTAGCACAAAAGAATAACATTACCACTACAACAGTTCTTTAAAGTCCTGAGCCTTGTACAATAGACTGACACGGTAAAAAGATGCCCCATTTCCCCATAACCTATCAACCTACTATGCTAAACTTGATTTATGTAAAGTACATTAAACCAGAATAATTTGATAACATTTTGTGACATACGTGAAGCTGTTGTTGGTATCCTTTAGTTTATTTAAGACCCCAAACATCAGCATTCCCACTGTCACAGCAGTGGGGTAGGAGACCTTTGTGTTAGCGAATTTATTAGCGACAGTCACCTTAATGGGGATCTGTCCCTGCTGTCCTGTTAAGAAGAGAGATTTTTGTGCATAAGAGAGACTCAGAGAATCCTATAATATCAATGTATTAAATCTTTTAAAATGTTATTTAGGATGTTAGACCTAAAAGGATTTAAATTCAATCACGTTTCTCCTCGTATTTAGCAGAAATCTTGGCTTTATAGAAGCAAACTCACCTGAGTGGTCATCACATTCCCCCAGCCCTGGGAAAGGCTGCAAAAGCTGCAAAGCACAGAAGACTAATCGCCGTCAGAGCCATTCTAGCAGTCTGCAAAGTGTGTCTGAATGTCTATGAAAACTAAGTACGGAAACTCCCTTCATATTAACCCACACATACATTGTTCCTTAATTTTACAGAGTGCATAGTCATTGTACATAACATGAAAACATGAAATATCTACTGATACATCATATATTTTCATAAAAAAGTGTATAGATGTATTAAGTTCATTTGATATTTTTATAATATTTATTAAACTATATTACTTTAGGTCAAAGTCTGGGTTGTGGAGATTAAAAATGTAACA